AGGGAGGGGTAAAGACAGAGAGAGAGAGAGAGAGAGAGAGAGAGAGAGAGAGAGAGAGAAGCATCAATGTGAGAGAGACACATCCATTGATTGCCTCTAATAGGTGCCCTGATCAGGGCCAGGGATTGAGCCTGCAACTGAGGTACATGCCCTTGACTGGAATCGAACCCTGGACCTTCAGTCCGAGGGCCGACACTCTATCCACTAAGCAAAACTGGCCAGGGATCAACTTTGAATTTTATCAAACTGATGTCTATTAGTTATCAACAATCAAGTGAGACAAAAACAAGTATGACTTTGAACTTGAATGTGGTACTTTGGGCCAATCATAAGACAAACAACTCCTTGGAAGAGCAGTCTGTTATTATAGGCCAGATGGATAAGAGTTGAGTGTTTTAAAAATGTAGTGCACTAAAATTAGGTTGGTTTGTTAACATTACTGTTTGACACAGTTATCCCAGCAGTTTCTAATTTTAAACACTCTCTTATTCCACTTATTTTTTTCCCCCTATTCTGGAAGTTACCTATTTTTTATCTTAAATATTTCCAAAATAGGTGAGTTTCAAACCAATTTTTTTAAATATTTTATTGATTTTTTACAGAGAGGAAGGGAGAGAGAGAGAGAGTTAGAAACATCGATGAGAGAGAAACATCGATCAGCTGCCTCCTGCACACCTCCTACTGGGGATGTGCTCGCAACCAAGGTACATGCCCTTGACCGGAATTGAACCTGGGACCCTTCAGTCCGCAGGCCGACGCTCTATCCACTGAGCCAAACCGGTTTCGGCTCAAACCAATTTTAAATCATACCTGTTAAACTACATAGATTGCAGTGATTACATGATACATGAAAATGCTCAAAGAACCGGAGCCTTAACCATATATCACTTGAAACACACATAATAGACTTAAAAGAAAAAAACACCATAATATCTTGTAGCTCTTCCAAAGAGGAGGAATCTCTTTCCCCACCGCTGAATCTGAGCTGGTCTTCCTGACTTGCAAGATTATCAGTGGATAGCAATTGCTGTTCTTGTGGAACTTAAATTCTAGTGAGGGCGGAAAGGCAGACAATAAACAATAAACAAAGTAACTATGTAATAGTAGAAAGTATTATGGAAAAATGTAGATCAAGGGAGGTTGGGAGTGATTGGGTGGCGTGTGTGTGTGTGTGAGTGTGTGTGTGTGTGTGTAGACTCTTAAATCAGGTGGTCAAGGTGAGGGAGGTGAGGGTAAATGGATTTCAAGGGGAAAGTGATTCAAGCAAGAAAACAGAGCAGATGCCCCAAGGCAGGCATGAGATATCTCTGCTCTGGCCACTCTAATCAGAGGACCATCAGGAGAACCTGTAATGTGAAATTCTTCTTCTTCTTCTTTTTTTTTGTAATGTGAGATTTTTAACTACGAGTCCATAGACCTTTGGGGCAGAATTTAGAAAAACCATTTATTTCAAACTTAACCATTTATTTCAAATATAAATGTAGGCAATACATTCTGTTCCTACCACATGCCTGCTATGTCTGTCCTGATCTTTTCTTTTTTTAAGTATATGTCTATTGATTTTAGAGATGAAAGAGAGCGAAAGAAACATCAGTGATGAGAGAGCCATTGATTTGCCTGCCTCCAGCACACCCCACACTGGGGACTGAGCCCACAACCTGGGCATGTGCCCTGAACCTCCTGGTTCATAGGTCGATGCTCAGCCACTGAGCTACGCTGATAGGTCCTGTCCTGATCTTTGATTCCCTAAATCAGTGGTCGGTAAACTGCGTCTCGCGAGCCACATGTGGCTCTTTGGCCCCTTGAGTGTGGGGCCAGAAAGTTTCAATTGCACTGTACGTGCGCGCCTGCACGTGGTATTTTGTGGATGAGCCACACTCAAGAGGTCGCAGTTTGCCAACCACTGCCCTAAATCATGCAAGCATATTAGCTCTCAACCACCTTCATAGATTGAGCCTTCATATATTCTTCTGTATACTAATCTATAAAACCTTTAAATTGGACCAATATGAACAGCAGACTGTGATTGGTTCAGAGAGTCAAAAGTCAGGATAGGAATGGAGAGAGAGTGGTAAGAACAGAAGGACATTTGTTTGAAGCCCGTGAGAAATTTGCCCTGGGTCTAGTCCCACAACCTATCCTAGTCCAGTTTACGTGTCATTCGCCAATTATGACTAACGAACTGGCCTCCACGACTGAAAACAT